TGGGCGCTTCCCCTCCCGGGCTCCAGCTGCGCTGGGGAAGCGTCGGCCAGGGGCGCAGGGTCTGGGGGCTGCCCGGCAAACCGTGAAGCCGGTAGCGCTCGGGCAGCCCTTTCCACGTGGCTGGGAGTGGGAGGGAGGAGGGGGTGGAGTTAGGGCGGGGTTGGGGCAGGGAAGGGGCGGGGTTGGGGCGGGGCTGGTGTGGGAAATGGGCGGGGCCAGGGCCCCGTGGAGGGTCCTCTTTTTTTATTTGTTACATATGGTAACCCTAGCTTAGTGAGTTGCTTTTACATCACAACATAGTTAAAAGGCTGGGCCTAGTAAAAGCCCCTTTGAATGTGAGTCTGTCTTTCATGTGGAAACAGACTTGGAGAGATAGTGACGGGGGTGTGATGGGATCCTCGGGGTACAACCTTGAACTGGGGTATCACTGTGCCCCCTTAGCGCTCCAGCCTGGGCTGTCTCTCACAGTGCTTTGCTAGTGAAAGCCAACAAACCCCTCCAGGTGCTGTGATCACTCAGCACAACAGCGTGTGGAGCCCCAGACCCAGCTAGATTGCATGAATGCTCCCTGAGCCACTCACAAATCACACAGGGAAAGGCACCAGCCAGTTTCCCCCAGCTCCCCAGCCATGCACCCCAGACCAGTGTATGGTTATTACCCGTCCGCCCCTCCCTCAATGCGGAGAGGACACGCACCAGCCTTTGTAACTGAGCTGAGATTTCCCAAGCACTTCAACCAAAACACACTGTTTTCGGTAAAATATAAAACAGATTTATTAACTACAGAAAGATCGATTTGAGTGATTATAAGTGGGAAGCATAAAGGGTCAGAGCTAGTGACCAAAGAAAATAAAAGGTAACTGCAAAATCTAACTGCAAAATTAGACTAAACAGTATTTGGATCGAGCAGTTTGCTCACCCCCCTGGATGTTACAGTTCTTAATACACAGGCTTCTCCCTTAAGCCTGGACCAGTCCCCTGGGTCGAAGTCTTTTGTCTTTCCAATGTTCTTACTGCTTCCAGCGTAGGTGGGGGAGGAGAAAGGTAAAAGCATGATGCCCTTGTCCCCTATTTTATAATCTTAGTCCATGTGCCTAGAAGCCGCTTACCCAGACATGCCCTGGGGGGCTTTGCTGAGTCACAGCGTTGAGCAATTCCCCCGGTGTGGTCTTGTGCAACTGAGTCACAGAACTGAGAAGTCCCCATTGTGTGGTGCTTGTGCAATTGTCATTGAATTGCAAACCCCTTGATTCCATCTCCCCTGCTGATTAATGGTGGATTAACCCCCTCCTGGGAGAATCTCAACCTTACAGCCTATGTCAGGAACAACCATATAGCAAAATCTCAGAACTGCATACACACTGATGCTATACGGGTTTCAGCAGATCATGACCTTTCGTATGATATCTTACCTGGCCTGCTTTGTATGAAATATCACAACCATCTAGGAATGATGAATATGGGGGTTACAGGGTGCTATTTTGAGGTACAGGGGGTGTTACCTCATTACCTTTTCTGAGGATTGAAAGCCTGGTGCTGCAGCTGTGGGGAATTCATTCTCTTGGCCATTCTCACTGGGTCTCTCTCTCCCCGGCCCTGACGTAGCTGAGACTGGTTTTTCATCAGTTGTGCGCACTGGGATTATGCCTAATTTACATCTGTGTGAGAGCAGAATCCAGCCACGTGTCCGGGGGGCTTATTGGGAGGGGTAGCAGCACCGTGCTGTTGAGTGAAGAGGAATGCATTAGTCTGCCTCTGCTTTGCTTGTGAGCCCAGCCCCGGGTGCCAGAGAATCTCACGTGACGTGGAAATGGGGAAAGAATCTGTAGCTACATCATTCCTAGCAGGCTACATGTCAAGCCGTGTTGGCCATCAAGGGCAATCTCACTGTGATCAGCTGGTGGGCCAGTCTGAGCCGGAGCTGGAGGGATCTGTCAGACGCAGGAGAACTAGTGGGTCTGCATGTGTGTCATTTCCAGGGGGACTGTGATGGGGCGCAAGAGTCACTGTTACACATGTGTCTGGTCAGTTTGCGCTTTATGCTCAGGTTGATGGATGAACCTCTCGCACTCGCATCTGCTGCCTGCAGACCCAACACACTGACAGCAGAGGAGGGGGATAGCTCAGTGGTTTGAGCATTGGCCTGCTAAACCCAGGGTTGTGAGTTCAATCCTTTAAGGGGGCCACTTAGGGATCTGGGGCAAAAATCAGTACTTGGTCCTGCTTGTGAAGGCAGGGGTCTGGACTTGATGACCTTTCAGGGTCCCTTCCAGTTCTAGGAGATAGGGTGACCAGATGTCCCGATTTTATAGGGACAGTCCCCATTTTTGGGTCTTTTTCTTATATAGGCTCCTATTACCCCCCACCCCCGTCCCGATTTTTCACATTTGCTGTCTGGTCACCCTACTAGGAGATAGGGAGACATGCACTTCCAGTGTGTCCCTGGGCCCCAGACATGACAAATATTGGGGGTGGAAAATGGATTTTTGCATGTTCTTGATGCAATGGCTTCTTTGCTGGGAGACACGGCAGGTTTGGCTCAAACAAGAGTTCATTTTGCCTGAGAATTAGGGCCTGTTTCACTTGAAAATAATCCAGATCCCCACCTGAAATACTGCACTGAACTGCTCCCAATTTCAAACTCGTAACAAAGTGCAAAAATCTCAAGCCCTGAATAACTTTCCGTGTTCACAGGAATATTTCCTCTCCTCTCAGACGCTAGGAATTGCAAGGGGCTGGCCCCGGGAGCTGTGCAGACCAGTGGCCAGTGCTGGAACTGAAAGCGATGGCTACGACAGAGTAATGTTACTGACCTGCCCGCTCCAGCGTCCAGTGCCATCTTCTCCGTGCAGTTGACTTACAGTTCTCTCTTCTCCCTCTCTTCCAGCCCCTTCTGCTGTGTCCATCATGCACCAGGTCAGCCGGACGGTGGACAGCATTACCTTATCGTGGTCTCAACCTGACCAGCCCAACGGCGTCATCCTGGATTATGAGCTGCAATACTTTGAGAAGGTATCAGCAGAGCCTGGGGCCGCCCACTGTTAATGTGGGCATGGGGAGAGGCGGCTCAGACCTTTGCCAGCCTTGGGGGAGATGCTTTGGGGGACTGACCATCACAGCCAGAGATGGCATGAGCCCCGGGGGTATGTGACGGCCCAACAGGTGTCAGATGCAATTGAAGAGAATAAAAGACGGGCACCGAGGCTGACAGAGTCAGTCTGGCGGTGTGTATTAACCCTTCGGATCCCAGGGAATCAATGTGTAGGGCAGGACACGCTGTAGTCTCCATGCGGCTAGCTCGGGTTGGGCGATATAGCTGGGTTTGAAAGGGAATGAGGAGTCACTGAGGAGGAGTTCTTGAGGCCGTGGGAGGAGTGTCCCAACCTTCAATAATCAAGAGCCAGTGGCTATCAGCGCCATTGCAGGCTGGCCCTTCCCTCCCGTTTGCTAAAGCCGAGGTCCCAGGGACTTGTTAGTCCCTTTCCCTGGAGCAGGAACTGTGCTGGCTGGAACCTCGCGAATTGATACACTAGTATCTCGGGGCCAAATTCCTGCTTGCTGGAACTCCACGGAGTCAATGGTTTTACACCAGGGATGAATTTAGCTTCCAGTGCCAGTCCTAAGGGCTTCTCTGCATGAGCATTGTTTGTACCAGTGCAGCTGAACCAGTGCAGCCTCCAGTGTGCATGTGTTGCACTGGCAAAAGCTGGGCTTGCACTCCCCCGTGTATACGCACAAAGCTGGGCTTGCACTCCCCCGTGTATACGCACAAAGCTGGGCTTGCACTCCCCCGTGTATACGCACAAAGCTGGGCTTGCACTCCCCCGTGTATACGCACAAAGCTGGGCTTGCACTCCCCCGTGTATACGCACAAAGCTGGGCTTGCACTCCCCTGTGTATACGCACAAAGCTGGGCTTGCACTCCCCCGTGTATACGCGTTGTACAAGTACGAAGCTGGGCTTGCACTTCACAATGTATATCTGTGGGAAGCAGGGCTGGCACTCCCCAATGTGTATGTGTTGCTCCTGTAGGAAACTGGTCTTGCACTCCCCCGTGTGACTTATCCGGGGATAGAACTGGGATAAGTGGTGCTGGTGCAAGCTCCACTTTACACGAGTGCAGGGCATCTGTGCTGGGGGTCTACACTGATGCAGCTACCCCAGTGCAATACCCTATGGGACGGGAGCTGATGTGAGAGGTTGGAAGAGATCCAGGTGGAATGGCCCTTCTGAGTGAGAATCCGTCCCTCTCCAAAACACGCCCCATTCCAGGTGCCACCAGCCCAGCCAGAGAAGAGAAGAGGGATTCTGTGTTATTCAGTGGAACTCACCCTGCACAACAGGAGGAAGTTCACAGGCCAGGACTGTAACTTCCTTGGCATGGTGGGGAGGTGTCTGACGGGCTGGCTTTGTGCTGCCAAGGCCTGCCCTGCTGGGGGTCTGTGCAGGGTCACAGGAGAAGGCCCAGCCTCAGTGAGTGGTGCTGAGGCTCTGGCAGGATGGACCCCGCTGGGAGCGGGAAGTGGGGGGCAGGAGCCTTCTCCTCCCAGGAGCACATCTCTGCCGCAAACTACACATTAAAAAATAAACTCAAAAAATCCCCACCTAATTAAAACACTTTATGATTTAAATGAAACAGAAAATATTTTCCCAGCAGCTGCCTGAGGAAATGATTAATCCCCGTTGCTCCCGCCCGTGACCTATTTTCTCAGCACCAAGAGCCAGAGGGAGAGGGGGGAGGGAAGGGGAGAGCCGCTTTGTAAGCTGTAAAATAGGTCCTGACCTATATTGGATAAATCAGAGCCATTTACTTGACCCTGGAAATGATCCCAGAGAACATAGCGAGTTGGATGGGGAGATAACCAGACAGATCCAGAGAGGGGTCCCAGCCCAGAGACACTCTAAGCAGCAACAGAAGCTCTCGGGGAGTTTATTCGCTCGTTCTCTCTCTCTCGTCGGGTGGGGGGGTAAAGCCAAAGCCGTGTCCTACGCCCCTGTCCGCTGGGCTGTGGCCGGCTGCAGGAGGAGACTGCGCTCCTCCTTGCTCTTAGAGATTATTGCATAAGAGGCAAATGGCACAAATAATGCCAAGATGTAATGGTTCATACAGCTTACAATGCAAATGGCACTGGGGCCCTGCAGAGAAGCCTGGGCTGGAATATGCTGCCAGCGTTAGCAGTGGGCAGAAGGGAATATTCTAACCCCAGCCCTCCTTTGCCTTGCAGAGGGAGGGGCTGGTGCCGATGCTACAGTGACACTTTGGGCTTGTTTTGACATTTGGACAAGTTGGTCCTTGTCCTGGCCACTGTCAGCTCTCCACCCTCCAGAAGGTGGGAATGAGCAACAGGGGAGGGATCACTTGATGATCCCCTGTTCTGTTCATTCCCTCTGGGGCACCTGGCATTGGCCACTGTCGGAAGACAGGAGACTGGGCTAGGTGGACCACTGATCTGACCCAGTAGGGCCGTTCTTATGGTCTTATGTTCACCATGCTCTGATTCATCCCCATAACTGAAACAAGTGTATCTGCTTTTCATTGTGAAATGACTTTTCATTTCGAAATTGATTTTATTTTAAATTCGAATGCAGTACAAAATGAAAATGTCACAATTGGAATGAAACACTTGGATTTTATCACAGCACAATGTTTTCAATTGACCCAAAAAAAGTTTTTTTCCCTAAATTTAGTTTCAGAGAAAATTGTAAATGTTGTTGGTTTTGTTCCAGTTCGGAATGAAACCAGTTTCAGACTGTCAGTATTTCCCGCAGAGCAGAAATTCTGAGCTTCAAATAGCTCCAGTTGTCATTAAAACCATCATGTGGGTCCAAACTATGATTTTCATCCCTTGTAACTAGGCCAGACCCAGAAAAAACCCCTTTGCTCCCTAAGGGATCTCTCCTTGCTAGATTTCAGTTCCCGACCCCAAGCGGCTTAGACGCCAGAGCTGTTTAAAAGTGGCAACTTTGTTCTCATCATGGAAAAAAGTGCGCTCGCTCCACTTGAAAACCCAGAATTGTCTTTGCTCAAAGTTTCCAAACAAATTCACTCCTGGGTAGTAACCAGCCCTGGAGAATTTCAGCCCCAAAGGTTGTGAGCACCTGAAAAATGGGGGGTTCCAATGGAGAAGCGTAGGGCCCCTTCATAGACAGACTCTGGACTCATTAGGGAGTTAAGAGAAGCAGAGGCCAGAAAGCCTTTCTCCAAACCGTGCTGGCGTTTGGTGCGGGTTATTTTGCATTTCCTGTCAGTGGCACACAGGGAAAGGACAAAGAATAATGGAAGAACAGTTGGGCTTGGCATGCACAGGAAGATGTTTGGTGGCCAGCTGTCAGCCCTGTACAGACACCTCTGTAGGTGTGTCTGCGCTGCCCTCCGGGGATGTGATTGCAGCTCTCCCAGCTAGTTGTAATCCAGCTGGCACAGGTAGCAAAGCAGTGAAGCCCAGGCTAGCTGCACAAGGAATTCTCAGGGGTCCAGGAGGGCTCGTTGCTGTGTTGCTGTGGCTTCACTGCTGGCAAGATTCAAACGAGCCCAGCTTTGCGCTGTCGGCATACCGTGTGCACGTGCAGTGGTAAGACCAGGCTGCAGCAGCGAGACTGAGAGGAGGGGGCTGGGCGGGATGGGAGCGCTGGGCCCAGGGCTGTGAGAGCGGAGGTGCAGTCCGTTTGTTCGCTGAGGGAGGGGAGAGCACTGGGAGGGGCAGGGAGCCCTGCTGTATGTTCACATACTAATCCCAACATCCCCAGAGCTGGGGAAGTCCAGACTCAGGGGGTAGTGGGGCCTGCCCCAGCCTGTGACACATGAGGCTTCTTGAGAACCACATCTCCCCCGAGCCAAGGCTGGAAAGAAACGAGGAGGCATTTCTAAGTCATTCCATGTTACCTGGGCAGCTCTGGAGCGGGGCTGGGCTGGGGAAAACCGGGTAAACTCGTCAAGTGCTTGTTGCAAAAGGTGATGGACAAAACACTGACATTGGGCCGGTTCCAGCCCCCATTGTGTGGGGGGTGGAGGTGAGGGGGCCCTAGATCCAGCCCGCGATTCCATGGTGCTGCCCACGTTTCAAAGCCTGCAGCATCAGACAGAGGACACTGCCCTAAGTAATGGCCTAGCTGGTCCTGCTTGGGGCTTGGAGCTGACGATTCTTCCTTACTTGTCTGCTGGACTGATTCCTCCTAGGAAGAATGTTCTTCATCCCCTACCAAGTGAGCTGGTCTAGCTCCTCCTTGCAGGCTGACAATCCCGCCCCCAGATTGTTAGGATCCCACCCTCTGTGCAGCGCAGTGCCCTGAACTGCCTGAAGGCACCACTCCTGGACTGACCAATGGAAAGCAGGTTCAAGAGGGAGGATTTTGCCTCTGGACTGGGAGGTTTGATGCTCTTTCCTTGCAGACCAGGTGCCTGTTGAGGCTGTGAGTGGCTTCTGCCCAGCACCCAGATGTCTCGCAGGAGGCGCTCAGAGCACCTGATTCAATATTCTTGCAGGCGCAGGCTGGTTGGCTGCTCCATTTCCTTAAGGGGCAGATTAACTTGGCAATTGCAACATTTTCATATTCGTGGAGATTAGCACACCCCTCACAATGCCCTAAAGGCCCAGTTACCCCAGGTTACCTCCACCGCACTGGTCGTGCACCTCCTGGGAGTGGAAAGGTTCAGTGCTACAGTCCTCAATCCTCCATTAGTAAACAACATGTCCTAGGAGAGCCCCGCCCGGGTTATAACAGCCCGTACCCTATTGGAAGATTGTTACCAGGTCCCCGCTTAATCTTCCTTTCTCAGGACTAGACATGCCCAGAATCTTCCCTCCTAGGCCAAGTTTTCTACACCTGGTCCATATCTGCCTTAAAATGTGGTGCCCAGAACTGGACACGACTCCAGCTGAGGCCTCACCGGTGCTGACTAGAGTGGGACAGTTGTCTCCTGTATCTGACATACATCGCTCCTGTTAATACACCCCAGCGTGATAGTCGCCTTTTTAGCAACTGCGTCAGACTGTTAACTCCTAGTCAGTTTGTGATCCATTATAATCCCCAGATCCTTTCCAGCAGCACCACTGCCTAGCCAGCTACTCCCCGGTTTGGAGCCGGCGTTTGATTTTTCCTTCCTACGTGAAGTACTGTGCACGTGTCTTTATAAAATTTCATCCTGTTGATTTCAGATCAATTCTCCTATTTGCCACGGCTGTTTTGAATCCTAATCCTGTCCTCCAAAGTGCTTGCAACCCCTCCCAGCATGGTGTCATCCACAGATTTTATAAGCATCCTCTCCCTCCGTTACTCAAGTCATTAATGAAAATATTGAGTAGCACGAGACCCAGTACAGATCCCTGTAGGACCCAACAAGAAACATCCTCCCAGATCCCACATGGAGGGGATAGGGGTGGGAGTGGGTCGGATGTGGAGGGAAGGGGATGGGAGTGGGTAAGATGGGAACGGGGTGGAGACAGGGAGTGGGTAGGCCATGGAAGGGATGGAGATGGGGACATAAGTGCAGAGAAGGGCGACCCTTCACATTTGTACGGAATGAAGAGCATGGTTCATTCACAGCAGAAGAGTCATTATCTCCATCCAAATTCAGCTTTTGCTACAGGTGGGTCCCCCATGCAACGGGCAATTTCCATTTCTATACCAAGTGGGACCCTGGTGCAAACCCCCGGAGCGGGAGACCTGCAGAAGCAGAGACTTCATTGCTCCCCTATAGGGGCATGGGAAAACTGAAGGGGTTTAAATGGGAACCTGCCTAAGGGCTAGAGCCATACAGTTGGCGTCTGTGTAACCCCTCAGCTGGCCCCACTCCAGCAGGAGACTGCCGGGGCCTTGTGCAGGCACTAATGGCCATTGTGCTCTTCACAGCATCTTGTCTATCTCATTAGCCAGTGTATGTCTTGGTATTCACACTCTTCAGCACTGCGGGGTTTGCTTCCTCACTAAGCAGGCTATATTCCACTGGGGTGTTTTGGTAGGGTTGCTTATAAGTTCTAGGGGCTAATGGGGAAAAGGAAGAGAAACCAAAGGTGTGGGCGGGGGGGCAGATGGCCTGACTGCAGAAGCATGGACTTTGCAGTACCATATTTGCCCCCCAGATCTCCCCTTCACAGCGACACTGAGCTCAGGCTGCCCTCCCACCCATCCGTAGAGGGACCAGCATTTAGATGTTTGTTTCTCTTGTCGTTCACTCAGGGCCAGTGCTACCATTAAGGCGAACTAGGCGGTTGTCTAGGGCGCCAAGATTTGGGGGCGCCAAAAAGCGGTGCCCCCAATCATTTTTTTACAGCGTTCCTCCCTGAGCGCGCGGTCACCGCTCCACTTCTCCCACCTCCCAGGCTTGCAGCGCCAATCAGCTGATTTGCGCCGCGCGCCCCGGAGGGGGGGGTAAGTGTGTGGTTGGTCCCCGGGC